GTCTTTTCCAACCTAAATGATTCTATGATTCTGTGATTCCTAGTATTGCACTGAAACATAGAAATCTCTTTTCTCAAAGGATAATGCTACAGTTCTGTTGAGCATGCTTATAAAGGCTCTGCCACCCAGGGATTATGGGCCGGGGAGGGCTCAGGTTCTGAGGAGGGCAAATTCCCCATGAGCATTTCAAACTCCCCTTGCTGCACTTCACACTCAGTTGTGAAACTGGAGAGAAGCGGGGGCCCCCTCTGCACCAGGTGTTGCTTGGCTGAAGCAGATGAATAAGCCACAACTTATCACTTATTAATCAGAAAGATTTAAAGTATTTGATGCTTCTGGAAAACAATATCTCCAGTGGGAATTCTTTATAATGTATGGTACTCTGTGGGGTATCTTTATGCTTCTATTGAGTCAGATTAAAGAAATGTAAGGAATTAAGGAGCTTCAGCTATGGGAACTACATGGTCAGTTTACTGAGGGGTTTCGCTGACAGCATATATACCTCAAATATAGATTTGTATTGTTTGTTCAAGCCAACAGAACCTCCTGGTGCGATTATTGCACTAGTTTGGGGTACGCCAGTTGATAAAATGCCCAACTGACAGTGTTCGTTATGAACCTTGTTAGCTCTCTTCTGCCTTCTGTATTTCTGTTCCATCTTCAGAAGGGAAAACAGAATATCTGCTTTCTGTTGATAAATGATTTTGGTCATTTATGCAACTGGGGAGACGGAGAAAAGCTGCAGTTGGTGATGTAGGCACCATGAGTACACATCACTTCTTGGCAAACTGGGTACAAAGTTGGGGTTAAAAAAATAGTTAGCATCCTGCATCCTTTCTATGGCTGCTTGTGACATCAAACACTTAGCAGTAATAAGGACATAAATACTACACAGACAATTGTTTTAAGCCTATTCAAGCCTTCTGTTTATTGTGAACCTATTAGGGATCTCACCATATTTTCTACGAAGGGATCATCTCAGTGCCTCCAATAAAAATGCAATTTAGTCAGCAGAAGGATGACTATATGAACACTATACTGGATACACTACATGCCTGGACCATAAAATTCTGTGGAAATCAGTGAGTTGTTTGGAAATCCATATTTACACCTTTGCCAATTGGATGTCAAATCCTGCCCTAAAGATTCTGTGATGGAAAGCCAGACTCAGAGGTTGGGTAGGCTTTTCAAAGATGTCCAGGCCCTGGAGTTTGCACGACAGAACAGATAAGGAAATATAGCCAGTCTGTTTATGTGTGGAAGGATTTTTTTCTTATTCAAAATAGTTAAATCTATATTTTTGATTGCAAACCTATTGTGATATTTGAAGAACCTCAAACTTCTTCATTCTGTAAGATCAGCCCAATAAAACACCAAAAGAAACTGTAAGATCCTACAGGTACCCATGTAATGCCTTCAGTTCCTATTAAAGTTTTATCTAATGGTGAGACAAAAAGTTCTTCCTCTAGCAATGTCAGGTTTTTTTCAGGGCATCCTCAAGTGCTCAGCAGCCTGAGCCATTTCAGACTAGACAGCTACATTCCCTTAGGGATACTGTTTTACAGTCTTATTCTAGTAATAACTCTTCTAGCATCCATCAGATTTGCAGGCCCAAAAGAAGATCCTACAAATCCTTTAAGGTGCTCTTAAAACCTGAGATAGCTAGGATCCTGTAAATTACAGACAAAGCTTGAAACTAATTTTGGATGGGATAGGGAAGGGCTTTTTTTGTGAATTACTAACAAGACTGTGTAACCCTTCTCTACCATGTCTAAATTTAGATTTAATATATTTTTGGTTGGTACCAGCCATATAAAAGCAAGCAGTGGTATTTGGTGTGTTTTATCTCAGCTGCCACTAGGTCAGTCCTCTAATAAACCACTGACACTATAATGAAGCATATTTGTTATGCCTGCTAGATTTATCAAAGCTGCTTTTGGTAGAGACTATTCAGTATCAAATTTTCATTATTTTTCAGGCATGACACAAAAGGTACTTTGTGGATGAATGTTGATATCCTCTTGGCAGGGGAGGAGAGACTGACATAGTAGCTAGGTCTATAAAGATGGAGAAGAAGCTGGCAAATTTACAAAATAATTTAGGTGATTAAATTAATTTGGTGTTTAGGAGCTTTTAGACAGCTTAGTTGCATATTCAGGTACCTAAATACCTTTATAATTCTCAACCTTTTTTAACCCCTGGTTCATGTGACTGAGTGGTAGTATGTATTTGCTGAGGCAAGGTATGGCTGACTTGCTTACTTTGGGGAGATACTAGTCATATTTTAAATAAGCATAAATATAAAATTAAAATAAGATAAAATGTCTTAATAACAAGGTGTCATGGAAGTGCTAATGAAAACAATGATTGATGATTTACATGATTAATGGGAGAAATTTATAGTGTCTGTTTTTCAGCAGTCTTATGGTAATAACTGCAGAATTAGACCGGTGTTCATTTCTTTCAAAAGGGGAGAGTTACGTCTGCTCATCTGACAACTTCTTCAAGAAGGTGGAATACACCAAGAATGTCAATCCCAACTGGTCTGTCAATGTGAAGACATCTGCCAACCAGAAAGCACCTCAGTCTCTGGCCAGCAGCAACAGCGCCCAGGCAAAGGAGAACAAAGATTTTGTGCGTCCCAAGCTGGTAACCATCATCCGCAGCGGGGTGAAGCCCCGGAAGGCAGTCCGTGTGCTCTTGAACAAGAAGACTGCCCATTCATTTGAGCAGGTTCTCACCGATATCACTGAAGCTATAAAACTGGAGACAGGAGTGGTCAAAAAGCTGTATACCTTGGATGGGAAACAGGTAGGAGATTTTACAGATGTTATGTCTTTTTCTTTCTCTTATCTTGAGGCTTTGCTGACTCAGAACAATTTTTGAAGCCTAAAATTAACCTGAGATGATCACTGCCATCTGTCCTCTTAGAAGTCAGACTTCTCATGCCAGTGGTTAAGTTACTAAATTTTCACTGATATTAATATCAAGTAAAGAATGTAGCCAACCGTCTGAGTGAAACAGATGCTCCATCCTGCACGCCAGCGTGCAGTGCGTGTCTTCTGGACTAGCTAAATAAATAACATGGGGAATTCGGCTCACAGCCACCAGTTGATTTGTCTCTGAAGTAATTGCAAGAACTCTCGAGCTTTGGTTTCACTAAGTGAAAATGTGTTGCTTGACTTTCCTTGCCCTCAGATGAAGGCTTGCTAAGAGAGAGTATTTGATCCAAGCATGCTTTTCTGTCTAGCTTGGTAATTAGCAGGAAAAGCATGGAACTGTGTTGCATTTTCTTGACTAAATGCATGAGGAGATAACATGCAGAAAGGGATTTGGGCCAAAAATATTTAGTGGGTCATCATAATGTGCTTCATGTCTAGATTTTCCTGGAACTGAAGGAAACATCTGTCTCTTGTTAGCAGCTACACCATTTCATATTGCTGTATCTATGAAAACCCTTAAAGGAATGTGGAGGATAACTTTGGGGACTGGGAAGAACTAGATTCTTGAAGGAAAATTCTGAGCTTGGTTTAACAGTTCTGTGTCTTCTGTAACTGAGGGATGATCTTATTTTTGTCACTATTTTTCTTGCTTCAGATTCTGGAGTGAGGCAGCACAGCTCTTGAGTGGGGGTTGGATGCTGGCTATTCTAGGGATTGATGCTATTGCTTTAAATTAACTCTCTTTCCCATCTCTGGAGAAAATTATTCAAATATTGGCTCTTGAAATACTACACCAACCCTAGGCAATGCATCCAATGAACATGCAGACTTTACATATGAAAATGTTCATCCTTCCAACCCCAAATATAGGCTCATAAAGTGCCCTGCACAGTCCAGGTGCAGTGTCTGGGAGCTGAAAGTAGCATGTCACTAACCTGTCTGATATTCCTGCTTTGTCCCAACTTCTGTATCCTGCACATTAGTTAGTGGCTGCTTCTAGCTTCAGATATACAAAAATCTCATCTGCCTGTCAAAGCTTTTCTTACTGCTTGTCTCAACCCAGTACTTTTTCTTCATAAGATGTATAGTTTGCACATGGGTGAGTGACTTTCCAGCTAGACTGTCCATAGATATAGTAGCATGCTGTAAATAAGCAGTGATACAGGGACTGATGTACTGGAAACCTTGGAAGTGGCTGGCGGAAGAGGAAGGAGAGAGTCAAATGCTCCATCCTCTCTGAGGAAATCGTAATACGTGGGCACAGAACCATGCGGTTTGAATCACAGCAGCTTTACAAAGGGTTTAATAGATGGATCTGGCCTGAAAGCAGATGCCTACTCATGCTGACACATAGAGTCCTGTTGCTCTCACAGTTGTGAATGAGGATCTTAACCTGTAAAATGCCTCAGTTCTTTGAGAACAGCCAGCATTTTGGATGTGAGATGTTGCTTTGGACCTTGTGTAGAAATAGGGATGCCCCATGAGCTTGCATCAAACTGTTCTCTTTTCCACCTTTTAGCTACTTACAGGGGTAAGTGGTGTTTCCCCCTCCACATCTGACTGGAGAACAAGATGAAACCAGCCCATAAACTGAACTGAGCTGTGGCCTGGTGACTGGACCAGCCCGTGAAATTGTGTTAATTCCTAAGTGGGGATTTGGGCCATGCTGCTTGCTCTCAAGGTACAGATTGCCTAGAGTAGTGCTGCTGTGGGTAGACTGCGATCTGTTGTTGGAGTGGCTGCCTTGCATGGGGCTACAGCTGAGCAAGAAGCGCAAAGATCTATGTAATTTAGCAATTGCTGGTGCAAACTGTTGCCTATAGCAGACACCATACATAACTCTTCTTGAATCAAAAAAGAAAAGGCAACCTTGTTTTCCTCATGCCAGGCTCTAATAGCTGTACAGTGGCTGGTGCCTCAGTTTGGCACTGTTTTGACTGGGGCAACCTGACAACTTCACCATCAGTTTTTGTTGCAGAAATGTGATTTCCGTAAAGTCTGAGTAAAGACACCACATTTAACTTCTTTTGCTGGCTTTATAAGTCACCATTTTATGAAATGTGATATTTCATTATGTGTTAGAGACACCACTGGGAGTTTCACTGCATGCAAACGTACATGCAGTATTGCAGTTATTGAAAAGAGTGAGATTTTGTGATTTGACAACAATGGAATGTTTGATATCTGTTTGTGGCATCAATTACTGTTGAAGCTTCCTGAAGAGCAAACCTGGTTCACCAAGGCTTTGTTTTTATTGGAAGGTTTCCTTCAATGTTTGTGTTTTTTTAATCTAAGTTTATTTGAAATTGCCCACCTGTATGTGTTCTTACTGTTGAAGCTAGAGCTAGAAGCTTCTGCTGTGGGTACAGTGTTTGCTGTTAGGGTTTCCATGACATACTGCTCCATAAAATCTGACCTTCTGACATGATATTAGAGGTTTTTTGCATGTCTGATTCTGACATTAGAAAGAGATTCTTGAATGCCTAATTCTGACAAACAGTACTGTATTTTCAGGAGAAAATATTCATGCAAAAACACAAGCTGCTCAAAGCTGAAATACTGACAAGAATCCTGACAGTCTGTCTCTTTGAGTGTCATCAGAGGCATGTTACTCCCTCTGTTGTGAGATGATAAAATTTACAAAAGGAATGTACAAAGGAAAATCATCCTTCCTCAGTCCATGAGCTGTAACTTAATGAGGGGAGATGATTATTTTATTTATAGGCATTTCCATGGCGCTCATCAGTAGAGTAATCAAGATGCTTTAGAAGTACAGACAGTAGTGGCAATGATAGAGTGGTGCGTAAATAATTACATTTCTATGCACTGCAGACCTGCTGCATTTGGAGTGAGAAAGCAGTTAACTGAGAGCTGGATGGGGTGTGTTTGAATAAATGTAACACTCCAAACAACAGTGAGGTTAGGTTTGGGGTTTTTTTTAAGGAAATTTTGTTTCTCTTTGTCTTGGATTGTCGGTAGAAATATGGCCCTTTTGAAACTGCTAAATGAGCATCTTGTGTTTAAGTAGTCTATTTAACTTGGGTTTGTACGTATTTCTAAAGCCTTGTGCCTTGTCTGTCTGTACTCAAGCTCCTTGCCTCCTTGGAGCATATCATCGCATCTTGATGGACACCCCAGAACTTAGAAGGCGTTTCAAATTGTTGCCTAAAAATGAGTCACGACAGAGAATCACAATAGAGATTTAAGTATTGAACTTTCATGGCCATATAGGAAATGGTATAGGTCAAAGAATTCAGTGCATTAAATACTGCAGTGGATCAAATTCAGCACTTGGTTTCATGACTACAACTGCTGTTGTGTGGAGATGTGTAGTATATATAATTAATATATACATATGCAGGATTGAATTTGCTCTGATCTGTGGATCATGTTGGAAAACAGTTGTTTTGGTAGATTATTTCCCTTTTTTTAAACTCTTAGTTATATCCAGTGTCCCAAATAAGTCTGGATTCCTGGGAGCGCTGGCTATTTTATAAACACGTGATGACAGTTTCTGCCTCATGTCATTAATAAACCAAATTAGAAGACAGAATTTGAGACTGTGGATGAAGTTGCATTCAGATATTTTGAATGCAGTAGTCTGAACTAGACTTTGCAAATGTTCTATAAATTTACTGTCCCGTTTGTGCTTGAGCTTCTTTCTCACCATGGTGTACAGTAAGTAGGTGTTTTTCTGGAAAAGAAGAGGCTGTTTCATCACTGACAGCCCAGTGCTCATCATCTGCTTTCTGCACCTTGCTTTGCAAGTGGTGTCTGTCTGTATTCATTCCTGGTTTTAAGAAGTGACCTGTAAAAGCGAGTGTCTTCTGTACATACTGAACTTCTCTTTTCCTGTGCTGGCTTGTATTCCAAAGTCTGTCAGTTGTTCAGCAAGTACATGAGGAGATGTAGTAACAAAAATCAGTCCCTTTTTTTTTGTGATTGGCTGAATGGGTGATAATCTGGAGTGACTAGTAATTCATCAGACTTGTTCAGGTGTACTTTAGCATTAAGATATTTTCTGTGGTATGGAATTCCTTCTGCTTTTTCTCCAGCTGATGTATTGCCATGTCTTAATTAACTAAATACCCCATTCTGTGACCCATCAATTAGTACCCCTAAACAAGCAGAATAACAGCAGTTCAGAGCGGGAGAGCTTGTATGCTTCAGTTCCACATAAGTATAGATATTCTGCTCAACAAGCAGGGAAATTAGTATGTTTTTAGCTATAATAACATGCAATGATCTCTTCTGGACTTTGAAATCTTCAAGCCCAGGGAGAAGTCACACATGTGCTATTCATTGGCTTTTACCTAGCCCAGACAAAGTGCTTCTGTTCCATCTGAGTGTTAGCTGTCTCATCAGATGAAATTACATACATTTTCATGTCAGGGCATTTGTGACTGTGCTCCCAAAAGAATTTTTAGTCTTAATAAAATGGTCCCCTCTAGCAGTCTTTGCTTTGATAAGGATTTCATGTGGCAGGTGATGAGCAAAGTTCATCTTTCTGTTTGCAAAGCTGATGCAAATGCCTGGGAGGCCAGCCCACCTCTCCTGACCAGAGAAGAAGTTGCCATTTCATTTTAGATGACTTGCATTGAGGAAGGGCAGCAGCCACAGAGGGAGAAGCCGCATGACTAAGCTCACAACAGGTTAAAGGTTGGGACTTTGGGATCAAAGCCAACAAAGTAGTTGATAAAGCAGCTAGCACTGTACTACTACTAAAAAGCTACCTTAGATGCATCCATATGAGTTGCACTGGAGAAACCAACCAAACTTTGGAGGTGCTGCACTGATTTTAAGCTGGCATTTGGAAACAAACTAGTAAAAACTTCATTGCTCAAGTGTCAGTGCTAGCAGTGGACCCAA